CACCTTTTCAAAATAGTTATAGTTACTTTAATATAGTTATGATTATTTTAATTTAGTAGTTTACTAGAGAGTGATACTGAAGAGTGAGAGAAAATCGATATTTTCGTAACAAAAAAAAACCGAGAGAACAAAAGCGAGAGAGGTGGTTGTAGATCTAGGGTGGCCTTTACGGAGGCGACCGTCGCTGTGTACCATAAGGGATCACCGGTTTTAGGTTCTTCTTAGTTTATCCTTTTCGTGGTGTGGCTCCTTGTTGATGGTGGTGGAGATGGGTTAGTGCTTCTCTCTGGTTCAGTTGGTTAGGGTCTAAGGTGTTTTGTACGGCAAAGATTCGTGTCAGAACGGTGTTGTATCTAGGTTCGGATTTGTGTTTCGTGCTGGAGGGATTCGTGTCTCGGTTTCAGATCTGGGTTTTCTCAATGTCTCGTTCGGCTGAGATATCGAATTCAAAGGTTTGTGAGATGTCGGAGCTTAGGGTAAAAGATGATCTCGGAGTTTGGCTTTTGTTGCCAGATTAGGTCCTTGCGTTATCTCACTTAGATTTTGGTTCTGATTTCTAGTGAATCGGGCTTTCTTTGTCTATTTTGTGCCTTCAGTTTGGAGTATCCCTTCTGTTTGGTTGGTTTGTGTGCTTCCGTTAGCAGAAGATGTTTTTTCTTAGATGGATTTATGCTTTGTTTTTTTTGGAAGGTGTGGTTGTAGAAGATGGTTGATTCTTGGAGCTTTTCTATGGTTTCTCGAGGTTTGGTCTTTGGGCCTCTTGGTTGATTATAGAATAATTCTTCAATCGGCGATGTACATCAACATTTGGCCAGCTCCATTAATTTAGAGTGGCTTGTTGAAACTCATTTGGAGACTCCTCGAGTGGATGGTTTGTTATTTTTCTTGTGTGGTGGTATTTTTCTTCATGGTTTGCACCGGCTTTTCTGATTTATGCGTAGGTGTAGCTTATGTCCGTTGTGGATATGGAGGTTGCCTTGTTTCGGTCTTTGCATCTTTGCCTTCTGTTTCTGGTTTGGTGAGCTTGTTGTGTTTGTATATGTGTATCTCCAGTGTTGATTGGTTGTATTTCTTTGTTTGGTTCCTTTGATTTAGCTTTGTATTCGGATTAAGGTTTGGACT